GCAAGGGAGACATGAGCCCACCATGAGGAGAATAATCTGCTTCATTTCAACAAAGGAAGATATACTTTTAACTTTAAAAAGCCTAAAAATTTTAAAAACTCTACTCCACAATATATCTTTGTTTTCAAAAATATTGAGCAGCATTTTAAATGACTATGGTTGAGAAAAGAAAGAAAACCCAAAATACTTTTCTTTTTTAAACCATCTTGTTGGTTGGTGGGCTAGTTGCTGTGGCAATGAGGATGTATTTTGCCAGAAGTGAGGCTAAAATGAATTCAAATGACACAGTTTATGAGACCAAGCACACAGATGGTGGCCATTCCTCCTCTTTGACTTATTGCTGAGACATTTTGAAAGCCCAGACTCACATACACTTGTGATACAACTGCATTGTCTTATAAGCTATGTTGGGCAGTCACGGAGTTGATAGGTCCAGATCCTGCTGAAGAGCTGTAATATTTCAATATATCCAGGAGGATTTTGTTGGAAAGTTCCAATAAAATATTTTTCAGCTAAGGAGAAAAAAACCTTCAGTGAAGGACTTTTATTCATGACGTGGTTCTTTATTTCAACAATAACACAGACATAGAGGTCCTATGATCAACTCTCTCCACTCAACTTTGAAGTATCATTTCCTGTGTAGTAGTCTTTCCATCTGAGATCAAAGCATTTACAACTGTGCCTTGCAAGAAAAAACCCTGCTAAAGAAGCCCTCTTTTAAAAATCCGTGATTAATAATTACAACATAACATAATAATGCGTAATGTAAAATTACTACTTTATTATAACATGTATAACAAAATTACTACTTTATATAACACAAAATTACTATTTTATATATAATAATATATAACATAAAATTACTACTTTAAGCATTTTATATGTAACATAAAATTACACTTTAAGCATTTTTAAGTGTAGCACTTTGTGCCATTAAGTGTATTTACTCTGTCGTGCAACCATCACCACCATCCATCTCCAGAACTTTTTCGTCTTCCCCAGCTGAAATGCTGTCCCCATTAAACACTAACTTCTCGTTCCCCTCTCCTAGCTCCTATCAACCACTATTCTACTTTCTGTCTCTATGAATTTGGTGCCTCAGATAAGTGGAATCACCCAATATGTATCCTTTTGTGACTGGCTTTAATAAGCCTGCTTTTGAAAGCCACTCTTCGAAATGTGAAATCATTCACTTTATCTGGGTTTTGTATCTTTGTGTGTCTGTTCCATGTGCACGGTTGTATTCTCTGTCTCTCTCTCTCTCTCTCATTTCTCTCCACCCCCACTTCCTCCTCCGTGAAAAAAAAATTAAAAATTCAATCTTGAGTCTGAAACACATTTTTTTTGGGCAAACAAACATTAATGTAGTCAAAAAAGTCTCAGTTCTTTTTCCATTTTATAACAAATGGGCAGATATCCAAACCATTGTTTTTACAGCATGGAGAAACATTGTGTCATTTAGCACAGGGAAAAGTAAACTCTCTGGGGCTAGGTATCTCTTGGTGAACGGTGCAGCCTCAGCTGGTGCATTTGTGAGGTGGAGTGTCTTAATGAAGGCCACTGCTCAGGCAGTTCTGTGTCTGGTGCTTGGCTCCAGCCATGCATGTGAACTGCACATATTTAATATATCAACACCATGTTCAACACAAAGCTCACAAGTCATGAAACGTGACATTCTCTTTACCACTCTCAAACCCTTTGCCAATTAGAACATATTCACAGACATCATCATCACATGGTAGTTAGTGGCCAGATCTGTCAAATTTGTGCTTTTAATTAGTTGCAGTACAAACAATCAGGTTAACTGCTGTTTTGAGCTGCTCTTCAAGGATATCTTTTGGTACCTCTACTGATGTTGTGAAAAGGTATCATTTGATGCTGTCATTTGATAAGATCAGCTCTCTTTTTAATCTCTTGTCCTATTTGGGGGCACATTTTTACAATAGTATCACCCCAATTTTCCCTTTTATGTGATTTTCACCTTCTTACATGATTTCGAAATTAATCCTTACCTTTGAGTAACTTTCTTTATTTTGCTACTCCTGGTCAAAGTTTTCATTAGTTGCAAAAATCTCAGCAAGTTTTGTTCCTCAAAATTATATAACTTGATCCGTCTGGACAAAGTTGCTGATATTAAATAATTGATGCTGGCATTGGGGAAATGACCTGCCATTTCCAACATGGTCATCTAAATGAATGAGACTTTCTTCTTTTTCCTATAAACTCTCCATTCTCCTCTTTCTTTCACAAATACTCCAACTCCTTGTCTTCCTACACTGCCATTCACCCTATGATGTTAGTATTTTACACATGCACACATGTATATATATTCTATGATGTTAGGGTTATCATGGATAATACAGATTATAATATTTTCTGAGTATGACAACTCCTCTTTTACCATTTGTCTTGTAGTGAAATTGGTTTTGACATATACGTGTTAAAAGTTGCACAGTATTTTTCAGAAGTATCTGTCAGAAAGTGACTATGTTAACACATTAAGCAGAAGAGGAGTTTGTGAAGTCTTGTGAGCTTGGGAGAAAAACAGAAAGAGAGGTAAATGCTGGCAGTGGGCTGGGAACCCCTGCCAAATCTGGGTATTTCCCAGCTCGGCTGACAGTAAGATGGATATGTGAGTTTGGCTTGCATAACTGCACTAAGGAGTCAGTTTATTGATGTTCCCTTTTGAATTCTATGTTTGTTAGGGAAACTTCTGGTTCTGGTCTGGTTTCCTGTGTAGACCTGCCTGCAGGGGAATGTGACCACCATGTAGACTCTGAACATTCTGTTCCCTCTACAGTTGTTATGATTCTGCAACTAAGGAGAACGAAGAAGTGGGGAGGGCTCTGGTGATATTTTGGCTTCACATCTAAGTTGACTTTCAGAGAGAAAGCAAAATGGGCCACAGGTCAACAGTAGAGTGAATTCCAGAAATAGAATGCTATGAGGACTTTAAAAAGCAAAGATCAGGAGGCAGTCTCCTACTGATGGTATCTCAGGATGCTTTCTAGGGGCCTTTTAGAAACGTTTAAGTTTGGAGAAATACAGCAAAATAAAATAGGTCCAAAGAAGAATCATAAAAATGATTACATGATGGGAACCCTGTTCTTAGAAAAAAAGAGCAAAAATTTATGACCAGATTTGACCAGTGGGAGCCCCTTCCGTCCACCTCGGTGGCCTTTTGACATGTCCCCATTATTCTGTGAATACTTCCTTGAGTTCTGGCGCAATTAAATATTTCAGGTTCAGTTTTTACTTTCCCTGCCCTAGTCCTGGAATCAGCTGTTAGGATTGGAGCATAAAATTAATTGTATTAAGTAAATAACAATAGCAACAAATTATCAACCATTGAATAAAACAGGAAACCATAAGCCCACACTTTTGTAAAAAATAAACAGAGGCCGGGCGCGATGGCTCACTCCTGTAATCCCAGCGCTTTGGGAGACCGAGGCGGACGGATCACGAGGTCATGAGATCGAGACCATCCTGGTCAACATGGTGAAACCCTGTCTCTGCTAAAAATACAAAAATTAGCTGGGTGTGGTGGCGGGCACCTGTACAGTCCCAGCTACTCAGGAGGCTGAGGCAGGAGAATTGCTTGAATCTGGGAGGTGGAAGTTGCAGTGAACTGAAATTGCACCACTGCACTCCAGTCTGAGCAACAGAGCAAGACTCTGTCTCAAATAATAATAATAATAATAATAATAAATAAACAGAAAGTTTAATGAGGAACAATATATTGACGTAGTTTCAAAGTATCTCCCCACAGAATATTTATTAACTACAGAAGGAGAAAAACCACCTCACTGTGGAGAGTCTTGGCAGATGCCATCTTAACCAAGTGTGACACGTTGAAGTCATGTGTCGCCTGGCAGGATGCCATGAGGGGAACACAGAGTCACTTTTGTAATATTCTGACAAAGACGCATAACCTTGATCTAACCACAACAAAACAATAGACAAACTCAAAATGGGAGACATTGGACAAGATAAGTGGCCAAAATCTTCCAAAGTGTCAAAGTCATGGATGTCAAAGAGAAAGAGGGAAGACCTGATCCCTGCTCCAGGACACCTCAGAGACGGGACAACTCAATGAAAAGTGAGATTCTGTATTGAATATCTTGCTATAAAATACTTGATTGGGACAATTGGCGAATCTTGAACGGAGTGTGATAATGAGATAGTAGTTGTGTACCAGTGTTAATTTCTGGATTCTCATGGGTATATTGTATAGTGTGTAGGACTAAACTCTTAAGTGTTCAGGGCTGATGGGGCATTAGGTCAGCAATTTACTCTCAAACGATTCAGGGGAAATAAAATTCTTTGTAGTGTACATGCAACTTTTCTGTAAACTTGTTTCAAAAGCTAAAAACGAGTTAAAATCAATTCTGGTGAAGAGAAGATTGAGAACTGGCTAAATAATGTTCTTCAGGTATGACAAGTGTTGTTATAAGGAAGGTCTTTTTCATCTGCTGGGAAACTTAAGAGATTCATGTGAGACATATGTATTTAATTCAATTTCACTTATTTCCTAAACAAGCTTTACATGAGTCGATTTATAGAAAGCATTCACATTAGATACAAATACAATAGTCAAATCATTAAAATAAGTGTAAAAGATGAGAGTCAAGAAATGAGATGAAATGAATAATAAGAGAGTAGGAATTTATATATGATAAAAACTGGCCAGGTATGGTGGCTCATGCCTGTAATCCTAACATTTTGGGAGGCCGAGGCGGGCAGATTACCTGAGCTCAGAAGTTTGAGACCAACCTGGGCAACACGGTGAAACCCTGTCTCTACTAAAATACAAAAGAAATTAGACGGGGGTGGCAGCATGCACCTGTAGTCCCAGCTACTCGGGAGGCTGAGGCAGGAGAATTGTTTGAACCTGGGAGCCAGAGGTTGCAGTGAGACAAGATCATGCCACTGCACTCCAGCCTGGGTGACAGAGCAAGACTCTGTCTCTACAAACAACAACAGCAACAACAAAACATAACTAAATGAAGCATAAAATTTAACTTTGAGTTTCCTGGTTGCCAAGGGAAAGATATAAAAAGTTACCAAGTGCTTATTTTACAATAAGCCCTGGTTGGGTCCCAAGACTAGCCACCAAGCCTCTGTTGCATCTGAGTCTCTTTCTCCCTCACTGTCCATCCCTCGTCATCTGCCATAGCCTCTCAAGCTCACAGTTCTTTGTCTCTGTTGCTGGCGGCCTGGCTTTTTCTGCCAGCTGCTTGTCTCTGGTGGCATTCTATACTTATGTGCCAGGATAGCTTTCCATTTTTGCCTATTGCTGTGAGGAAATTTCACTTTTCTCAGTAAAAATAAAGTTCAGAACTCAGGGTTGGCATTGGGTGGTCCTTATGGCCTTGGCTTTCACCCAAGACTCACTTCCTTTGGGGTCTATGTCTGATCCTACCATTGACACATTGGCCTAATGGGGCACTGTTTCTCTCTTTTTTTCTTATGCTAGATGCAGGACTCTTGGGTTGATTCTCCATAGACCAACTGATCAGAGTTAGAATGTTCATATAAGACTTGGATAAATGAAAGGAGGAAACAAAAGAACAAGAGAAAGAGACAATTTCATTGATCTTTACAACTCAACTTACTTCTCTTCAATTGTTGAACCAATACATGGGTTCTTCCTGGTTTCTGGTCTACCTCCTCATGATGGTGACTATTATTTATACCCACTGGCCAGGGGTGCCTGTAACTACCATGGTTGACCTGTGAGACCAACAGAAGCTGAGCTCCCTCAGTTCTAGTTTCCTAAATTCACGTCTTTCGTCTGGGTTACTGACACTGGGCATGACCTCTCCATTCAAGAAGATCCAACCTACCTTCAGATGTGAGCTTTGTATTTATAGATGCCACCAGGATACCAGACAACCCTCCCAATAAGCCTAGGAGATGTGCCCATGTATGCTCAATATGGTAAAAGCATGGTTAATTTCTTATTGCTTCCAGCGAGATCTTCCTGTTGCTTGTTTGGACAAATTCTCATGTCTGACGGGGTACCTTGCTCAACTTCCCATGCTATTTTTATGGGGTTGTTTTGGTCATCACAGCTTTTATAACCAATCTCCCATTAGAGAAGAGAAGAGAGTCACAAGAGGCAGGATATAAGGCAAGATTTCTGGAGAGCAGGAAATATTAGAAAGCCCAAAGTGCTGCATCCTATTAGACACTAAGACTGAAAGGTGTAAGCACTAAATCCATACTGGGAAGCACTAAAAGCTTTGCAAAAATCCCTCTATCTTTATCTGTCCTCACTATTCACAGGATCATTTAATATTAAACCTATAAAACTGTGGCAGGTTTATGTGTACTAAGGCATCGCAGGAAGGAAATTATGGGACTCATCTCAAAATTATCTACCTTCCTGTTCTGAGAATATAGCATTTCTCTTTCTAATGAAAACATTTCAATAAAAAAGAAATAAAATAAATAATAATACACTTAATATTAAAAATATAAACAACTGAGCACATCTTTTCAAAGTTCCTTTTCCATTCTAAAAGGGAATAATTATAGGACAGTATTAGATACCTCTTACCTAAAATATCCAGTGGCAGAGAGACTAATGCTTTGAGCAAACGCTTCATTAACCTGCAAAAAAGAATATGATGAAAGGAAAAATACACAACTGGACAAAAACAAAACATGGGAAAATAATGGCTTTCTAGATGTCATAATTTTCCTTATTGTTGGGAATGTTATTTTACTGAGTGAACAAGCAGAGTGCCCAAGTGGTTTCTCTGCGCAGAATGATTGCTAAGGATGCCCAGGATGATTGCTAAGTCACTGCTTTGGTGGATCTATTTAAAGAGCAAGGGAAGAAGTGATGAAGGTAAACACCTGTGGTGGAAGTTTAAATTCAGGGTCCCCAAACAAAGTCTAGCCGAGGATCTCCATCCTCCTGTCTCCATATATGGGGAACCAGTCTAGATGGAGCGTCAGCTTGGTTGGAATATGTATGTATTTTTAAGTTTCAGAGAAACTAAGAGATAAAGGAGGTAAGTTCGGTAATCCCTCAAGTTACTGCCACCACATCCCATCCATCGCCGCTCCCTGAGGGCTTCTCACAAAACTTCAAAATCACCTGGAGACTTTCTAACAGCACTAATTAAATACTCAGGGCCTTGCAGAACTTCTGCTGCCCCAATTTTTAAAAATCTGGGTCACGTTTTAAAATGAAGTCTTTATTCTGAAAGAAGAACAAGAACTACCACCCAAAGACTATCCAGTTTTCCCTATAAATGTTTGAAATGCAGGTGTGAAAAACAGCAAGCATTTGTAGCTTTAGCTGAAGCTGTTTTTCAAAATGTAATCCAATACAACAACTTTCCCTGCAAGAACTTCCTTTAAATGTATTGCTTTTTTTCCCCGCAAATTTCCAAAGTTGAACTTTAGATGATGTAGGCTCTATCTTCCTTAGCAAATAACCAGACACACACTAAGTGGTATTTAAATATGAATGGCTTTAACACTGTTACTGAGCTATTTCTCCAGATGTGAGTACATATCCAGATGAACCAGAGATTTCTGTTTCATAAGATCTGGTTGTAAGGTGAATGATTGATTTATATCTGTCCCTTATGAACTCAGCTTACTAATCTTTAATTGCTGGACCAACGTAAGAATGACTTTCTTCCGGCCGGGCGCAGTGGCTCAAGCCTGTAATCCCAGCACTTTGGGAGGCCGAGACGGGCGGATCACGAGGTCAGGAGATCGAGACCATCCTGGCTAACACGGTGAAACCCCGTCTCTACTAAAAAATACAAAAAACTAGCCGGGCGAGGTGGCGGGCGCCTGTAGTCCCAGCTACTCCGGAGGCTGAGGCAGGAGAATGGCGTGAACCCGGGAGGCGGAGCTTGCAGTGAGCTGAGATCCGGCCACTGCACTCCAGCCTGGGCGGCAGAGCGAGACTCCGTCTCAAAAAAAAAAAAAAAAAAAAAAGAATGACTTTCTTCCTTGCTCCTGATCACCTCCTTACGATGGAGATACTATCATTTTATATCCACCAGTCAGGAGTGCTACTTAAAGCGTGGTTCAGCAGTGCAGGTATTACATGGGAGGTTGACAGAAATGCAGACTCTGAGGCCCCACTCAGACCTACAGAATAAGAATCCGCATTTTAACTGATGTCCAGGTGATCCGCCTGCTCACTGATGACTGGAGAGGGATGCCCCAGGTGGGACAGGACAGGAGGAGGAAGTGGCAGGGATGCAGCATACGTGGGAACAGGTGCTTCCACTCACTGATCCCACAGGAGCTCTGCAGGCTTCAGCCACACCTGGTGCTCACCCACTTCTCCCAGGTGCCACTAGCACTCCATCTGATGATAGGTTCGAAGCATTCCACGAGAGTCTGGCAGGTATTCTGCAGGTGGAAATGGACGGAAGAGTGGCAGAGAATCAAACAGGGAAACCTTTCAAACTCGACTGTGTTTCTCACCCTGTAGCAATCACCATCCTCCCTGCGTCCTGCAGATACCTTCCATTTGGCTTGTCTCCACCTCTGGACAAGCGGCTGACTCTGGTGTTCCCTGTGGAACCAGTGCCAAGCCAGGGCTTTTTCACCCAGGAGGTAAAAGTGGAGGCTAGACGGAGGACAGATAGAATGCAAGATCCATTTGCCTAGTTCAATCAAAATGGCTCTGTTTTTATTTGTTTTACGTGCTGAGGTTCCATTTAGGATTTGCTGCATACTTACCAAGGCTATGAAAACCCCTGTCCAGGCAGTGAACACAAGAACGCAGGCACAGAGAAAGGCAGCGTGGTGTGTAGAGAAAGGTGAGTTTTAGAGCCAGACATCCCTGTGATTGAATAGCTCTGCTTCTTCTCAGTATGTGGATCACTTATACTCTCCATGCCGTGGGGATCTTGTCCATGACCTGGAGATACCAGAACCAGGTGACCACACAGCCTGCTTTGCCCAGGACAATCCCTGTTTACACTGGTTGTCTTTGTGTTAATGTCAGTGGCTCCCTTTGCTCTCTAAAGTATTTTTGTTTGAATTATATGGGCATTAATACCTACTTTGAAGGGTTGTTTTAAATGCATTCATGTGTGGCATAATGATGTTTTAGTCAACAGTGGACCACATATATGACAGTGGTCCCACAAGATTGTAATGGAACTGAAAAATTCCTATTGCCTAGTGACATCATAGCTGTCATAGTGTTGTGGCATAATTACTTTATTTTTAAATTTAACTTTATTTTTTTGAGACAGGGTTTGGCTCTGTTGCCCAGGCTAGAGGTCAGCAGCATGATATCGGCTCACTGAAACCTCCATCTCCTGGGCTCAGGTGATCCTCCTACCTCAGCCTCCCAAGTAGCTGGAACTACAGGTGTATGCCACCATGCCTGGCTAATTTTCATATTTTCTTTTGTAGACACAGGGTTTCCCCATGTTGCTGAGGCTGGTCTTGAACTCCTGGACTCAAGTGATCAGCCTGCGTCAGCCTCCCAGAGTGCTGGGATTACAGGTGTAAGCCACCACACCTGACCTAATTATTTTTAAAAATAAATGTAGTGTAGCCTAAGTGTGCAGTGTGTATGAAGTCTACACTAGTGTGCCAGGTCTTCACATCCACTCACTACTTACTGACCCAGCCAGAGCAACTTTTAGTCCTACAAGCACCATTCATGGTAAGTGTCTTATACAGGTGTGAACTTTTTTATCTTTTATACCAGATTTTTACTGTACCTTTTCTATGTTTGGATATATCTGGGTACACAAATACTTACCATTATGTTACCATTGCCTACAGCATTCAGTGTAGTAATATGCTGTGCCGGTTTGGAGCCTAGGAACAATAGGCTAGACCATATAGCCTAAGTGTGTAGTAGACCATATCATCTAGGTTTATGAAAATATACTACTCTGTGATGTCCCCACAATGGCAAAATTGCCTAAAGATGTGTTTTTCAGATCATATCCCTGTCGTTAAGTGAGGCATGACTGTACAGCACTCAGTATTGTCTTCATTACTTTACTCCAGGGGCATGTACTCATTAAAGCTTTGTGAGAGACTTGCTTGGAACCTGGGTCACTGAGTGACCAGCGGTGAGTGAGTTACTCTTGGCACTGGTCTTCAAGTTCAGCTGACCAAACCAGGGATATCTGCACCTGTCCCCTCTCAAAATGGAATGCCGCACTTGCCCTTCTCCAGATACCAGGATCTTTGGCTCAGTAAGGCTTCTGCCCTCTGTCCTTCCAAGAGGGCAGCCTGGGGAGATCTCTGTTCTCAAATAAGGAGGTCTGCATTCTAGAGGGGGGACCCCGACCCTATCATGGGTGCCCTTTTCATAGAGTAAGCATGAGAAAGTGGACTTGACTGAGGAATGAACAAGTTGTCTGGCACCAGGAAGTCTGGATTTGGGGTGCAATTAGAATTTAAATATACGTGTAATTAATACACGGGAGTTGTCCGGGAATGTTGCCGCTCCTCACTGAACTTTGGAGCCCATGAAAAGTTACAGCTGCTCCAAGTCAAGGGTGAGGAGCCACTGGTTCCCTGGGAAGCTGAGTTTTGGTGAAACTCCCACTCGAGAAGGCAGGTGAAGCCCTCTTCCCAAGTTCCAGTTGGCTTATTACCAGGTAATTCAGAATGAGCTCCTAGGGACGCTGTGGAGAAGTCTAGTCATTGCATCACAAAGCCCAAAGGTGATACAGTGCAGTCGGGGAATATTTTGTGAAGTCCAATTCTGGCTGATGGCGAAACTGAAACAACCTGTTTCACCTGTGTCATTTTGGTGTTAATACCTTGTCCCAGTTCAGCTCTGCCATGACCAACTAATACAGACCCACCTGTGTAGATATGAACTAGAGCAGCAGCCTGGAAATAAAATTAGAAATCTGTTCTTTCTGCCATCTGTATGTGAATTTTTGACAGTAAGGCAGTCACAAATGAAGTAGCAAAAGCCACAAAATAAAGCTACAGTTTCACTGGTACAGGACCAGTGGTTTCATCCAAAGGTGTGTGCCACCTGAGAAGAGCAAAGGTGCTGTTCCATGAAATCTGTGAAACAAAGAAAAGCCTAGGCGAGTCCCTTACTGTTGAAATGTGGTCGTCAGCTGTTGCAGGGGCCTCTCGCCATTTTCAGCGGCATTAACGGGTTAGACTTTGAACGCCCACTGGCATTGTCCTCCTTTCTGAGTCTCTCATAGTGTAAGGTTGAAGTCAATAAGGAGAGTGCCTCACTCTGCGGTTCCAACTCTGCAAAGCAATAGCAAATTGGCCTAAATTGTTAACAACTAGTAGAATTTAGAGCTTGTTTTTGTTGGAGCAGACCCTCTTTGCCCTTAGTTGTCATTCGGGGAGGAACATTCTGTCCTCGTGAATTCTTTCTCCTTGTTCCTCTGAACTATTATTCTCAATTGCTTCTGGGGAGTAAAAACTTGCAAAGAATTGTAGAATAAAAGACAGCAAAATATAAAAAACAAAATCTCATTTGTCCATAATCTCATTGCTCTCACACACTGGGTTATTATAAGAAAAGTTGAATAGTGCTAATATAAGTCCCCAGTCTATTACCTGCAATTCTGAATTTGAAAAGCCCTGAGCACCTATTTGGTGGAGAAACTTATACTGATCTCATCCAATGAGAGATTCATAGTCTTTAAAAGATCTTACTGGGTGTAAGTAATCATACACTTCACTGCAGAAGTATTACCATGCTTGAATGTGGCGTGTTGCCCCAGACTCTGCTGAGGACTTTAAGAAATAGTGTAGAGATCATATGATCTTTTAAAATCAGAAAAATTTAGAATTCCAAAATGTATCTGGCCTCAAAGATTTCATAGAGGGAAAAATGAACATGGTGTATACTTAAAAAAAGTCAAACATTTTAGAAAGGTACAGGATGGAGAATGAAAGCACCCCTGCCCACTTGTCTGCCCTGTCCCATCCTAAAAGTAACTGGTCATCAATTCCTTGTGATTATTTATGAATATGGCATAATTTTGTGATAGAATTTTTTTTAAAAAGTATAAGAGTAAAAACACCATTCTGCTGTTTTTTTTTAACTTATTAATGAATCTTGGGTATTTTTTTCTATATCAACATATATAGATCCATCTCATTTGCTTTAATATCTGCACAATATTCCATCATATATGTAATATAACTTACTTAAGAAGTTTCTAAATAAGGCACACTCTGTGCATTTCCCCCCACTCTTCTAAGAATAGCTTCCAAAAATGAACACCTTTGCATATATGTCTTGGCAAAAAATTTCTTGAAAATGACCATCAGATAAATTTCTAGCAGTGATAGTGTGTATAAATATTTTTTGGGGGTGTGGGCTGACTAAATGTTCTAAAATTAGGTTTTGGTGATGGTTGCACAACTCTATGAATGGTACACTTTAAATGGGTGAATTTTATGGTATGTGGATAGATTATATCTCAAAGTTGTTTCAAAATTCTTAGCAGTGAAAGTGGTAGGTCTGAGGGTATGTGTATTAGGATGTTTGTGGTCATTTTTATCATTAGAAAGGTGCACATTCAGCCGTGTCCTCACCAGCAGTCCTGCCTGCCTTCTTGCTGGGGCTTCTATGCCATAGTGGTTCTTGTGTGCTTATAGGAATCCCCTTGAGCCTATGAGCTGGAGCTGCTCTCCTGGACGTGTCTTGCCTCGAACAGATAGTATTTTGGGTCTGCACTGCCCTGTTGGCCCAGCCATGAGTATTTGGTGGATGTGACCCAGAGCAAGGGTCTTCCCTTAGCATGTTTTGTAGATCAAGGGATGCAGGGTATAATTCTACTAATGGGATGAAGCTGGTGCACTCTGTGTGTGGGCACATCTCTTATCCACAGTTACTGCCCTTGGACATGAGGGTATATGGCCCTGCCTGCAGCAACTAACTGCTCCAGGACTGAAATGATTCCATCTGTGCTCATGTCACTTCTTTGGATAACATTTAGTTTCTTAATTAGGTACTGCACCACACTTCCTTTTTATCTCCCACATTGTCTAACACACTTCATAACTTAAAAATACTTTCACGTGTATTATTGTATTAATCTTTATAATTCTGTGATACTTATCCCATTCCCATTTTGCAGATGATGAGACTGGGACGAGAACTAGATACTTGTCAGGGTCACACAGCCATTAAATGTACAGAAATAGGGTGCAAACTCAGACCTTCCAGTAATAAATCCCATTTGCAGCCCCACTGCCTCAATGATGTCATCAGTCACATAGTAGGTGTCTGGTGACAGTGCACTGAGTTGACTGGCCTCTGGGTTTTATCTTTCTTGATTCACAGAGGACGACTGAGGTGACTTGAGAGGGAATATGTTAAGTGGACTTTCCAGGGAGGCAAAGAGATTTTGCACACCAGTGTTACCCTCTGCCTCATTACTGCTTCCCCAAAACTATTGCTTTTTCATGGAGCTTAATACTTGGTTTCAATGTACTTACTTACTTATTCACTAGGTGAGGAAGAAAGGTAGTAAGTTGGAAATGAGAGGAACATTCTCACACAAAGACGTTACGTTATTTTATACCAAACCTTTGTATAAGTGTGTGAATGTGAACTATGATTACAGGTACGTCAGGAAAGAAACGGAGGGACGTATACCACACTGTTAACACTGGCTACCTGGTGGCTGGAAGTGGGGAGAAGCAGGGAGGAGGAGGCAGCATTCTCTTTCCTCACCAAAGCAAAACAGAACAAGAAAGAAAACTCTTAAAAAATGTGTCCTCAACTAAACACAGCACGTGCAAAATGATCCCAATTGCTCAAAATTGTATAGACATATGCGAGGTATAGAAAAGGATGTTGACAAAATATGAATAGTAGTTATCTCTGCATGGTGGGCTTCCAGGTGATTTTAATTTTTTTCTTTGAACTTTTTGTATTGTTTACAATTTCTTTGCAAAAACAGTGAGCATATATTATATGCATAATCACAAAACAATAAAGCTATTTTCATTGAGGAAAAATGTTGGCCACTAAAAGTATATTTAAACAATTTTCTTTGAAAGGAGGTGTGCTGAGCAGCCATCTATGTGCTCAGTCATAAATAAGGCTTGGCGTCCCCTTGTCCAAGCCTGGGTCCTATGGGACTCCCAGAGTGTCGAAAGTTCCTACACTGGAAAAACATGGAGATTTAGGCACCACCTCTAGAACTCCCTCATTAAAATACAGATTTTACCAGGTGGGTACAATTTATGAGTGTGTGATCTCAGATTCTCTTCCTTTAAGAGCAGAGCAGAGAATGTCTTGAGCAAGGAGAAGCCTCGTCAGGACTCTACCGTTTGAGAAAGGTAGATGAAAATGTTCTGGGAGCCAGGCGTGATGAAAGGGCAGATTAGAGTTGGGCAACTTTGGGTGTGTTAAAAATTATACGTATATATTAATCTGAAGAAAAAAAGAAAGCTAAACTAGTCATTGTCTTCCCTGAGCTTAACTGTTGCTTTCAATTACAATTCTGGGTGTGCTTAATTAAATATTTGAAAGAAATCTCTGTTTAAAAAGTAATGATTATGTTTCCAAGTTAACCAGTGGGAAAATGCTAACAGAGCAGTGCAGTTGCTGAAGTAGACGCATGACCCAGTTTGACTCAGACGCATGATCCAGTTTGGGGCTATTTAAGGCATTAGAGCTGCTCCCTGTCCTATAGGAAGGTGGTTGCTAGAAGCATGAGAAGTGCCTAGTAGACACATCTCTTAGGCAAGGAGCCCATGGATGTTCAGTGTAGGAATGTTTAGATATTTTTACCTTTTTGTTCCAATAATCTTTTCATACAATTCTACAAAACTCAATTCTTGCAAAAAAAAAAAAAAATTCTAAAATCCCACCAACATTACCTTTCTGGGGATCTATCTCTGATTTCAATGGCACTAATTTAAAAAGATTGATTTTTAGTGTCTGGCTGTTTCTCCAATACCAAGTGATTTTTTTTTTTTTGAGTGGGGAGAAATCTACAGACAACAACAATAAATCATGAGCAGAAATGTTGATGTCTTCTCTGTAATTCCACTGTGGTTTTGTAGGAAGGTCCAAGCAATCTGAGCTTATTTTTCTAGAAGTTGTAGAGCATTTTCAAAGAAATTACAGAGAAAGACCCAATACCTCCCAAAATTGTTTCACCTTCTCATTCATGTAACAATGCATTCACCCATCCATCATCCATCCATTCATCCACCCATCCATCCATCCATCATTCCATCCCCATCCATCTATCCATCATTCCATCCTAACATTTATGTTAGGAGGAATAAAGAGAGGAATAAAGAAATGGCGAAGACATGGGTATAGTTTACAGCCTGCAGTGAGAAACCCTAAAGGGAAATCAACAATTTCAACATAGTGCAACTGTAGTGAGTTAAGAATCAGGAGGGCCAGGCGCGGTGGCTCACGCCTCTAATCCCAGCACTTTGGGAGGCCGAGACGGGCGGATCACGAGGTCCGGAGATCGAGAACATCCGGGCTAACACGGTGAAACCCCGTCTCCACTAAAAATACAAAAATTAGC